GCAGATCCAGTCTTTAGCAATAGAGACCAATGAAGCCTCTTGTGTGTGTGCGTCTGTGGAGGCAGGACGAGTGATATAAAGAGTGGTGATAGTTGGTATCAGAGAAGACAGAAATGAAGAGAGGCACATAGAGACTCGTATGTGTGCAGGGTTGCCCCAGAGAGCTGGAGATTTCAGATGCATTACATACTTAAGAAGGCCTATGGTTCTACCTAATGTCCTGGATCCCATGTCTGGATAGCACATACACAGGAGCTCTTCTAAATGGGATGTTGGGATGTTGTACTCTTTGAGTACAGCATCTTCCTGAGTTAGAAAGGATAGACCCAGAAATTCAATGAATATTGAATCTGTTTCTTCCTGCTTACAAATAAAGCCAGCAGTGAGTTCCAAGGACAAGAAGGAGCAGAGAAAAGTGAAGGAGCAGAGAAAAGAAAATACTGTCTACCTCTCCAGTAGTATTACCTATTGCCTATTTCCTTATTTAAGAATATTGGTCTGTCTCTCAGGAGCAGAGAGTTGTCCAATATATAATTGTAGTTCTTTGTTTACAATATACCATTATAAGTTATATAAAACTCCTTCATCTTGCTTTATTTATGTATTATTTTGTAAATTTACTTTTTACTTTATAATATATAAATATCCATTAAACTACCAGCCAAGTCTATAATAAAATGAAATTCAAACTTAGTCTTACTTATGTTCTCTTTATTTTTGTCAATTTCTCTGAGTGGTAAATATTACAGAACTGTGAAAAACCAATGGAAATTTTAGAACTAAAAATACAGTCTGAGATGAAAAATTCACTGGGTAAAATTAAGAGAAGACTGAATACTGGAGAAGAATGGCTCAATTAACCTGAAGACAGTTAAATAGGAACTATTTAAACTGAATTAAAAACTAGGGAAAAATACAAAAAAAGGAGGGGCAAAGACCTAGTGACCTACAGAATAATAACAAACTCCATTATATGTGTATAATTGGAAACTAGTACAGGTAGAAAGAGATGTGGGCAGGGAAAGAGTGAAAGAGCAGTAGCCCAAGTAAGGCAGAAAATATAAACACATCGATCTGAGCAGCTTAATGATGGATCTAAGCAGGGTAAACCCAAAATGAGTAAGGGTTCATGGGAATAAGTAGGTACACTGCAAATGAGCGTAGATTTCTCAGGATGTGGTCTTCACAGATAGATTTCTTGGGTTTAAATCTCACTATTTCACTTACTAGTTGTATGAACTTGAGCAAGCTCTTTAACTTCTCTGTACCTCACTTTCCTCACATGTAGGGACGACAATAGTAACTACTTCTTAAGATTGTTATGAGGGTTACATGAGTTAAAACATAAAAAGCTTTTGGAGCATAGCCTTGTGCAAACTGAGCACTCAATTTTTTTATTTTAAATGGAATGGAGAATTTCAATGAAAAAGAGAAGCAACACAAAAAAATAGGATAATATGAAAAATTTTGGATTCCATAGAAATGAAATAATTTTGCACCTTATAAATTTCTGTATCATTTAACTATTCATGCCTATATTTCCATATCTTTAAACTCAGCAAATCTAAAAGGGTTGATTTACATTCAAATATAATGACAATTTCCTGTTTTCAGAATACAAATGGTAGTGGTATTAAATATGCTAGTCATAGCAATACATTTTTTTGCATAGCTTTCTTCTCCAAAATGTGCAAAGAATTCATGACATGAAAATTGGATCTTAATATTAAGTATATTCTGTTTCTATTCAGCTGTCATAATAATCTCTAGAGGGAGATGTCTTTTTTAATGTATAAAAGTGACAGATTCTCTATAACTTAGCAAACAGAATATACATATACCATATATATTTATATCATGTTACTTCTTTAAAACAATCTACATTATTATTCATCAGTGAATTATCTTCTGATCATTCTAGTTTAATTTTAGAGTAGCCTCTGACTACTTTATTATTAATAAAATTGGAGGTAATCTAAGTTGACTTTTGAAATTAGTTACAATTTTTCAAAAATTACTGACCTAACTACGAACTACTTTAATTCAATGATAATGACCCTAGTTACCATTTCTAAAATTACAATTCACTTGAGAGTTTTTTACATCAAAATACTTGATAATGTATTCAAGTACAGAGAGGTAAGAAGACTTTTACTCATTTAATCAATGAATATATGTGTAGGACCTACTATGTGTTTGGGACACATAAGTGAACAAAATTCACAAAAGTCTTCTTTATTCTTTTAAAACTGACATCTGAATATCCTCAATGGACAGGTTACCTCGTTGTGTTTTTATACAACATGACAGAAAAAATACACATTGGAAAAGGCTTTATAGCATCTCGTGGTTAATCTGTAGGAAAAAAACATTTCCCGCCTCCTATCAACCCTCTAATTATCCACCTACTGTATGCACTGCTCTTCTTCCTCCCTCCACGTATAACTTAATCATAAATGCCCCCAAAACTCTGGGGTCAGCATTCTTTTCCATATAGCTCAATTTATTTTCATATTTTTCACTTTCCTTTGATTCACATATTTTATAGCTTGAGTAATCATTATTATCCTGATAGTAGTTCAATAGCCTGATAGAAATATTGGACTAGGTGATGGTCAAAAAACTGGAAACCAGTGCTCTTACATTTAACTGCTTTGTGACTTTGGGCTTAAATGTTATTTAAGTTCTTGAGGCGCAATTTCATAATCTGTAAATTTGAGGAGGTTGTACCAGATGCTGTGTAAGATTCCTTCAGGCAATAAAATGCTGTTATTTGCTAATTCTCAAATATAAATCTTTGTTATTGATCTGTCACTCATGGTCTATTCCTACAATATTGGTAGTCTTTAGGGTATTCTTATTTTAACACCCCAAAACCTAAAATTTGTTACATAAAAATTCAAGTGAGTCTAAAATAATTGGTTTCTTTCCAAACTTTCTTTTCTTCCAAATTAATAATCTTATTCAATTGTACAACTGGAATCTATGTGATGAATGATTAATAGCTAATAATTGGTTAGTAAGAAAGCTCAAGTTTAAAGTTGTGACTGATCGAATGTGTCAAAAGTGGTTTGCAAAGTTTCTTGGTACTGTTGACCTTTTGGCCAAATAATTCTTTGCTATGCAGCTGTCTTATGCATTGGAAGATGTTTAGCAACACCCCTGGCCTCTACCCACTAAAAGCCAATAGCAGGAGATAGCCAACGTACTCGAAATATCCAAATCAATAAAGTTATTGGTGAAAATAAGAAAAAAATGTAAGAGAACTGTGCTCAAAAGAAAGTAGTTTCTCTTTGGCAACGGCAACAAACTATGGGGAAGTGTCAAGGGTAGGGAGTTTTACAGGCATCTCTTGGCTCAATTTTTTCTTTTCCTTTCTTAAAGTCCACACAGGCTGACATCACCTCTCCCACCATACCAAACACTTCCAGATAACATTTCAGGCCTGTGAGAGCACTTAAAGAGAATCTCACAAGAATATGGTAGCTCAGGCTCCACAGCACCCAATAAGCAATTACATTTTTATCAGGCTAATTTTGGCAGTCATCTGCGCACAGTATATTTATCATTTCCTCCTCATCACCGGTTATCATGTTCCCCTGATTTAGAAGATGCTCCCACTTCTCTCTGCTTCAAGGGAGGCAGCATGAAGCTGTAGTTGGGCCTCAAGGATAGGAGCACCATAGTCTGAAAGACCTGGGTGTACTCCACCCTTTATTATCTGCATGACCCTGAACAACTTACTTCAATTCTCCTAGCCTCAGTTTCCTCAGCTGAACAGTTAGCACTGAGGCTGCACCTGAGAACTGATATGTAAATTTAAATTATTAGTAGTATCCAATTCTGACTTGTAGGGGCGACTTTCCTCGCAAGTTCCCCTGTGTGCCATGGATGAGAGTAAACATGACTGAGACATGATCTGCTTGGGGATGAGAGGTAGCCAGTTTCCCAGAAGAAAAAAGCCTTGAGCAGTGGTCAGTTTCTCAGGGGAAAAAGGCATTGAGCCCCTTCCTCCAAGAGCTTTTATTGGGTTGTAATACACAGGAATACAGGGCAGCAAGGATCAAACAGTAGATAACATTTCAAAGAAATCCGAGGGCTTAGTGTGAGTCAGTGTCTGTCAGGAAAGGGGGTTGCTGAACTTTGGGGAGACATACTCATTTCCTCTCAGACCCTTATCATATGAATGAAAGCACTCTTAGCAGAGCAGATTTCACAGGTTTATCAGGAAGTCTTTGTGATGCCAGATTTTTCCCCAGGACACTCTCTAGCAAGGCAGGGAGCTGCACCCCTCCCCATCAGGCATTCAGGCTTAAGGGAATTAGAGCCAGGAAGCGATTCTCCCAGGGGACATGGGGACTCGGGCTTCATCAAAGCCGGGGTTGGGGGGGGCAAGAGTCCATTGCTCCCTCTTTGTTGCAGTCCCCTGAGTCCTTCCATGAAGGCCTCACGAGTGATCATGTCTGGCCTAGGTTCCCCCTCCTCTGAGGGATCTTACCCATCCGACCATGCTTTGGGAGCAGGGAGGAAACTGAGGCAGCATTTGCTACCAGAGACAAGCTTTGTCTCCTGTGGCTCCTATTCCAGAGGTCCTTGCTCCCTCGCCCTTAGCCACAGGGAGTAGAGAGTTACAATTCCTGGAACCAGGAGGAATGGTCCACAACACTAACTCATTAATTGTGTTCTTTTTTTTTTTTAAGATTTTATTTATTTATATTTAGAGGGGAAGGGAAGGAGAGAGGGAGAGAAACATCAATGTATGGTTGCCTTTCCTGTGTCCCCTGCTGGGAACTGGCCTGCAGGGAACCAGCCTGCAACCCGGGCATGTGCCCTGACTGGGAATCAAACCGTGATTGTCTGGTTCACAGGCCTGCACTCAATCCACTGAGCTACACCAGTCAGGGCTGTGTTCTTTTAAATGCAAGAGAAACTGCCTTTCCCTCCTTTACATGCTGGCCCTAGCTATTCGATTTATTTAAAAAGAACACACACATGCACTCAATCCTCTTTAAATCAACTCAAACTTTGGTGGTATTTATGCAGACTCACAATTTTATTTTTAATTTTAATGTCAGACTTAAGAAGAAAATATTACCCATGGTCAATCCCAGGACCGAAATATTGATTTACTTTCTGGGCTGCTTTTGGAGGTGGATGAAGAGGAAACTTCATATCTGGAAAAGCTCTGTTCCTTTTCTGCATCATACTTCTTTCTTTTTTTGCCATTCCTGATGCCATCAATACTCACAGGAGTAAAAAAGGAAATATTGCAAGTATCTTTGTTATCTGAGGCTGTTCGTCCTGAGTCCAGTGTATAGAAAAGCTGAGGCTGAAGTAGCAGGAGAGAGCTGGAGGAGAGTGAACAGCAAATCAGAGAAGAGGCAGGTACCTCCAGGACTGTCCCTCTATTTAGTTTGGTATATTTATATCCAGAAAAAAAAAACTGAACAGAAATTTTAGAAAGCCTGAGAGCATTCACTTGAAACATTTTCAAGGAAACATAAGAGAAACCCAAGTTTGCAACCAAATGCCAGGAAACATTTAACCTACTTGTAGATGACTCTGAATCCTGGTTTCCAATTTCGGTTAGATTAATAGCAAAATGGTTATGAGTCTAAGAAGAGACTCATCAAGCCAGCTTAATACCAGAAATAAATCTTTTCTGTTATCCTGGGTAGAGAATAAGGAAAATGAACCAAGCACATTGCTGTTATTATGTGTTCCATAACACAATTTGCATCTGGAAATATTCTTTGACTGTTAACGGTGACTTCTACAGAAACCTATGGAAAAATACTTTATAAAAAATCCAGATTTTTTTTGTAGCCAGACTTAATAAATATAGGATGCCCTAAAACAACTGAACAGTTGGATCTGACATCTGTCTCAGCTTCTCACAACACGTGGCAGGCTCTCACCATTGTTCTGTGAGGCAACATTACTTCTAAAGTAGGACTGCAGGCAGGTGTTGTCTTACAGTTGTCAGTTTGCACAAGACTTGATGTAAGCAGGCAAATAAAGAGTTTTGCTGAAAGACACAATGACAAAGTAAAAGTGTTCTTGTTCTACTTCTCCCTAGAGGGATTTAACATTTTTTCTTCTTTTCCAAAATAAACACTTTTATTGGTCTCATCAGGAATGCAATCCATATTAACCTAATACTTCACAAGTATTTGCCTCTCTATAAATGAAGACAATGAAACTTACCACTCATTATTTTCAAGCAGTTGCTTTTCCTAGAGTGGCAATGAGCTTCCATGAGAATGTAAACACATACCATACTTTTCAGATAAGATGCACCTAGGTTTTAGAGGAGGAAAATAAGAAAAAAACTTTTTGAAGCAAAAATGTACTAAAGTATTTAATAATGCAAATAACACAATATTTCACCAATGTAAATGTAAACAGAACTCCACAGCAGTATTAATAACCATTATTCCTCCCAAATTGGGTGGGGGGTGGTCTCGTAGTCCAAAAAATACAGTAGTTTTGCCAGTCTTCATCTGAGATGGTTAAGCCATTGGCTAGGATGGATGTATAGTCTCTGTAGCATAGTCCCTCCTTGCTGATGTTCTCATTGAATCAGACAGAACACAACCAATGAAGCAAGTGACATTATATCTTTCCACAAATAAATACAGCAAGATTCAATAAGTAGTAAAAAATGAGTAAGAATGGGCAACATGTACTACATAATAACTACACAGCCAGCATTGTGCATGAATTAATCACATTCAACAACTGTCCATCTTTTAATCAAAGTGATGATAGCAAACATCCTTGGCCTACTCCAGATATTGGAGAAAAAGGTTCAGTATTTCACTATTATTTATTATGTGAGTTGTATGATTTTTGGAAATGCTTTTCATCAATTTGAAGATGTTTCTTTTATTGTGAATGGATGTTGGTGTTTGTCCAACACTATCTACTTTTATTGACATGATCATAGAGTATTTTTGTTTATTCTATTCATAACATAGGTGAAATTGAGTGATTTTTAATGTTTAAGCAAGTTTACAGTCTTGTGTTCACTCACTTATTCTTGATTAGTCTAACTAGAGATTAATCAATTTTGTTGATCTTTTAAAAATCTATTGTTGGCTTTTTATTTCACTATTTGCTCTCACCTTGATTATTTTCTTGTACTTATAGTTATTATGCTTTTATTAGCTTCTTAATACATGACGTTAACTCATTGATTTGGGACCTTTCTTCATATCTAATTAAGCGTTTAATCTATAAATGTTCCTCTAAGTACTGTTTTGGCTGCATCCCACATATGTTGATATGATGTGTTTCCATGATCATTCAGTTCAAAGTATGTTCTACTCTTGTGACTTCTTCTTTCATGAAGGATTATTTAAAAGTATGCTATTGAATTTCCAAATATTCTGTGATTTTCTAGATATCTGATTGTTATTGATGTATAATATTCTTCTCTCAGAAAAAATAGAATTTTTCAGTCTTTTAACATTTGTTATGATTTGTTCTATATGCTAGCATATGTTCTGTCTTGGTAATATACCATTTGCACTTTTAAAAATGTGTTTTGGAGTTGTTGTAGGAACATCAGTGAGGTGAAGGTGGTTGGTGGCATTTTATAGATCACATTGTCTCTATTGATCTTTGACCAGCTCTTCTATTAGTTGCTGAGGGAGTAGTTCAAAAATCTAAATGCAGAATTGTTACTTCCTCGCTCTGGTCATATTGGATGTTTTGAAGGACCTTAAAATTTTTAAATACCATTTAACCGCTCCTGCCTTCTGTATTATCATATGCATTTGCCATTTTACATACACTCTGTTGTTGTACATAAACCCTCCAGAACATTTAATTATTATTTTATAGAGTCAATACTCATTTGTATTTACACACAAATATACTCTGTGAATTTCTATATTTCTGTCCAAGATTATTTTCTTTCTGATGAAAAATTTCTCTTTAAAGTATTGCTTTTTCAAGTTTTACTTTGTTTGAAATGTAGGCCTTTGGGTGACAAATTATCTTAATTTGGCTTGTCTGAAAACATTTATTTTTGAGGAGTATGTTCACTGGCTATGGAATTCTCGGTTGGCAGCTACTTTCACACGGTGTTACTGACGGTTCTGGTGTGTGCACCTGCCTCCGTCCACTGCCTGGAAGGACAGGCACTATTTTAAACGGGTCGGAAAAGCTCTCTGAGGATGCACAATGTAAGTCGTTTCCTGGATACAAGCAGTCTTGGAATGCTTGGGAGAAAATCATTCCAGAAAGAAAATTTAGAGACTCTGGATGGAAATACATATTTTTTTAAATTGAAGAAACTCAGGGCTGGGGGAGGGGAGGGAAAGCATAGCTGGAGTAACAGAGCTGAGTAAATACTGCAGGAGAGAAATTGGAAAACTGTCTTTCATTCAAACCACATGAGACCTTGCAAGCCAAGATAAAGTATCCGGATTTTAATCTAGTTATAATTGGGAGCCTTTGGAATGTTTGTAGAAGTGTTATAATTTGATAGGAATTACTAATTTTAAATTGTTTATCTCACTTGTCTTTATAACCATGCCATGTAATCCTCACAAGTCTTACAAAATTTAATGTATCAGGTGCTATAATTATCTCCATCATAGCTGATAGAAGTGAGGCTGATAGTAGATAAACGACTTCTCCAAAGTTACAGTGACAGACCTTGAATATTCACCCATCCGTCTCTACTTCTAACACTATCTGTAATCATATTTTGTACTAATTTTTACTTCAAAGTTTCTCACAGATCCACAGTGCTAACCATTGCACACAATGTGAGAAATTTATTTTATCAAATGGAGATTTTTGTGAACATTTCTAAAAGTGATGGACCTTAATAGCCTTCTTTTCTATGAGATTTTGCACCTTGCTATTATGCATAAGAAAAGATTTTTCATTAGAAATGAAACCCAGTCCGACTTGGCAGAAAACCCAAATAGCTATAAAAACTTCTGTATTGTGTTTCAATAGCTTTGCCACCTGTTCTCTCACGTAAGGAGCCTTGCTACCTATTGATCCAAACACAGAAAGCTACTTGAAAGTACTGCATTAATTTTAAAATTTCCCCAGGACCCTGCTTTCTAAAACTACCTGATTCCCTTGATGTAGCTATTAAATTTGAAGTAAAAACAAAAAGCAAAAGTAAAATCTGAAACTATTTCATCCAACCTTAAAATTATAATAATATTCTGCTTACCTGGAACATAGCACAAGTAAAAAACAGAAGAAGGAAAAGCTTGTTGCACTCATAATTGTCAAGTTTGGTGCCCTGCAGCTGGTCCACAAAATTTGCTTCTCAGAGGAAAGAGAAAAAAAGGCTAGGACCACCCACTTCCCCTTCACACTTCATTCCTGAGTGAGAGGAAGGCCTCCTTCCTTGAATCCAGGAATAGAGCTGAAATATGTAAATTGAAGTAACCCAATTTCAATTTGTAAATAAGGAAAAGCAAGAAGCAGGAACAGCTCAGATAAAAACATCTTTTATCTTTAACATGGAGTAAGAAAGTAAAATGCACAGAGGTTGAAATGCCAAAAATTAAAGAAACTAAAAATAAAATAAAAAGTTAATTTTCTGGTCTAGGTTCAACCTGAGAATACATATTTTTGTGAGTTATCCCCTGAGATTGTTCATAACAGAACCAGTCTAGCTGACTTTTATCCACTCCTCAGTAAACAAATCTAATGAACTGTAATCAATATGTTTTAGATGAATTATATGAATTACCATATTTATTCTCTTGACCTAGGAAAATGTATGTATTGATGCTACAGTGTCTAAGCCACAAAGAATGAAAATCATAGGAGGCATACGAAGAGAGACAGTGTATAACTACCATTGCACAAAATGAAAACAAGCCTCCCCTCTGAGATATTTGAAGTGCTCTGGAGAATGTAAGCAAGGCTTCCATTTAGCCATTACCTTCAATTAATTCACAGAAATGCAAAGCGACATTAGGAAAAGCACCCCTAGAAGAAATTGCCAGGGCAGGGAAGACCACCTTCACTTTCAATTTCATATTGAAATCTCATGAGGTATATAATGGGTGGAAACTATAGACTGAGAGCTTTTGTCTCCTTAGAAAAATATTTCACATATTGCAAGATCATTAGGGCTTCATAAAGAGTTCTTACAAGTGATATCAAAGGTACAATTCTTAGCCAAAGAGCCTGTATATATGCATAACCCATAGGCACAGGCAACAGTGTGGACAGCCAGAGGGAAGGGGATGCTGGAACTGGGTAGAGGTGGGCAAAGTAGGGAACAATGGGGGCATCTGTAATAGCAACAGCAGTAAGATGAAGAAAAAAAAAACTTAAGCACAATTCTTAAAAGAAAAAAAAACAACTAAAAAGAAAAGAAAGACCACTGAAAGGTGGAATGGGTTGCATCGGAAGATCATAAATTGGAAGTCCTTGGAAGTGTTCAAGCACAAGTTGGTCAGACACTTCTTAGTGGTATTAACCAAGCATTAGATGGTAGAAGAATAGATTTTGATCAACACACCACTTCTCACTCTAAATTGCTTCAATTCTATGACAATATAGTCAATGGGAATACAGAGAGGATGTAAAAAATGGTGGTATAAAATAATTTTATCTAGAGAACTGACCAAGAGAAAGGATAAGTGGAACAGTCAAAGAGCATAGCATTGATGTTTTTTTCATGGCAATTTAAAGAATATTTATATGTCATTTATCATTTATTCATATATCACAGATAAAAACAATTATATTACCCATGGTAGGCATGCTTCTAAAGAAGCAGGCCCTCTCATTCACTGGGATGAAAAGGCAAATCAAATAATCTTTTGAGGGACAATTATCAAAATTTAAAATATTGAGTTCCATTATCCAATAATTTTACATCTAGGATTCTATCACACAGAAATGTTTGCAATACTATTTATAGATATATGTACAAAATATTTCTGAAAAATAAAGAAAATAAAAAATTAGACAATATAAATGTTCATCAAGAGAGAAAGGACTATCTATGGGTCTGTCTCCATTATGCTTGTTAGTTCAGTTTGTTCATAGAGTCCTCATATGAGTGAAATTACATGGTACTTGTCTTTCTCTGACTGGCTTATTTCACGTAGCATAGAGAACAGGTTGACAGCTGTGGTGAAGGCGGGGTGGAGGGATTAGCAAAAAAAAAAAAAGAGAGAGAAAAACTCATGGACAAGGACAACAGCGTGGTGACTGCACGGGGAAGGGGAGTGGGCGGAGGAAAGAGAGGGTATGGGGGGTAAATGGTGATGAAAAAATAAAATAAGAGAGGAAGGACTCTATTATGGTATACTGATGTAAAAGAATATTTTGTAGTTATTAAAAATAATGAAATGTTTCCGTTGTAACAAGGAACAATGTCAAAGCCTATATTTTTCAGGGACAAAGTAATGCACACTCTTATTCTATTTTAGTTTTTGTAACAATAAGCTACTATGTATGATTGGATTATTCCTTAAGAATACATACCACACTGTTAACAAAGAGAAGAGTGTATTAAGGACAAGATTTTCTCTTCTTATTGTGAATATTTCAAAACTGTTTAAGTTATTTTGAGAAACATTTAAAATTTTTGTATTTTTTTTGAAAATCCATCACAAGTTTAAAACCTTACCATTTTTGTAGCCAGCATTTCCTGACTGATAATCCCCAAGGGTCCTGCAAATTGTTGGATTGAAGAACTGTATGTATTCTTGGGGGAAAAAATGTCATTCCCTTGATTCTTTTGGGCCAAAAAGCATCAATGCAAAGACCAAAAATAATAAAAATTCTTATTACAAGAAGATACCTTAAATAGGGTGATTCATTACCTTCTATTCCTTTCTTTGTATCTTCACCAAATCATTGCTTTATACTCTGAATAAGTGTACTCCCAAACATCAAAATGAGGAAAACAGAGACAAATGGGATTCCAGTCTCATTTTAATTAATAGTAATTTATGAGATCAAGATGGTGTCCAGTGAACCTCGCAAAGGAGACCCAGGAGTGGACCGTCCCAAAGTTGTTCACCTTAATGTGCGGTGCCAGGCACATTTCCATTGCTTCCTTAGTCCCTCTGGTTGAGCATCGAAAGCATGTGGGTCAATCACACCAGCTTCCCTCGGTGACTCACGGGATTATGTAAGCTGTCGGTCTTGATGCAGAGCTGTGCAAATGCCTGCTTAAAATAAAATTTATTTCAGGGAATAGTTTTTTTTCCCCAACTTCTTCATAATTTGAATTTGGCTTTAAAATATATGATGAAAGGAAAAGGAAGACATACATGATTTTATTAAAGGTTTAATAGTAGATCAGACTTTTCTAATCCTCTGTAGTTACATCTTAAAACATCAAGTATCACATAATGCAAATGAGGTGTCTTCTCCAGAACAGGGTACTGACATGTTGCAAAGTCAATCACTCATTTGGTTTCCAGTCTTTCGCTGTTTTCTGTCCTATCTGAAGGACTCTCTCACAATTAACAGTGCACTGCTAACCAATTTTTGGCCTAGTACAACTATGGTATTTTCACATTATAAATGTCAATGATTCAAGTTTGAGATGAGTAGTTTTAGTTCAACAATATAAATAAAATTAGACGCTTTCAAATCAAATTAAGCCTCAGAAGAAAGACGTTTTGCTGAATTGATTAGACTATGAATAATCTGAATTAATCATTTCTCATTCTTCTCTGCCTTCAGTTCTGGAATGTGACCATGTTTCTGGATCAGTTTTCTACAGCCTCTGTTCACCTTCTCACCACAATAGTCAGTAAAAAATCTTCAACATAAGAACCCCTGACTCAGGCCATCCCCTTGTAATGAGAGCTCTGGCAGTGTGGTCCAGTACAGATCAGAAGCTAACTGCAGGTCTCCATTGTAGACAGTGGAGCCCCTCAGAGTCTGTTCTCCTCTGACACCACACTCTGTTCTGATATTATTGTCCAAGGACTTCGCCTTTTGAATCCTCTCTGGGGGGCTACTCTGCACTCTTCTGTTTGATTTCTGTGGGTCAATTCCATCCATTTCTTTCCCTTATATAAAAGTACCCTGTTTCCTAGTGTCTTTGTGATTTTCCTCATTGCTCTTTCCCTTCTTTATTATTTGAGGATATGACTAAATTACTCAGTGCATTGGCCTCATTTCCTGGGATGCATTGTCCAGGCCATTTTTTCCTATGTTAAGGCAAGTTCTTAGCACAAGTATTTTCCCCATGTTCACACATGGGCTCTCGACTAGAGAATTAATTTACTTGGATGCATGTCAGTCTTAAAATCAGATAGCCATTTTTCCCATGTCAGATATATTAAAAAGGTAGTTAACTGCTGTTGGAAATCTACAAATACCATTTAACAATTAGTTGACACCTACCAATGCTAAATGCATTCACATATGCTGTCTCTGTCCTACAAACTCTCTAATTCTATTTTCTCCTAGATAATGAAACCCAAGCCCAGAGAGGTCACAGCTAGTAACTGACAGAGCTGGAGTTCAGGCTCAGGGCCCCCACATCTAAGTCCCATACTAGTTTTTCTTACCAGGCTTCCTATATTCTGTCAAACACCAAAACATCAAAAGCAGAGCACAGATATAAAAGTTCAGTTCCTACCTGTCTCTTTAAACTTTGTGGTTTTATGCTAACCTTAATTCTTTATGGTTCAGCTTTTCCATCCATAAAATCCTTTTTCTTTTGATGGAGATGTTTTTAAAAATTAAATTGTTAAGAGATGAGCATGGAAGTAAGTGTGGTGCTTTATCCTAAAAATGGTCAGAATACATCTAATGAGAATTAATCAATAAGTCCTAGGGAGAATCAAAGGTATTGTATTTTTCCCTAGGAGCCTGTATGGTACTGAGAATAAATTCGTAGTAGGCAGGAAATTATATACAGCCTCTAAAAATAATGTGAATAATTTGTATCTTTACCACATCATTGCTTTGCAAGTGGATCTGGTAGATATGAGCCCATTTCAAATATCTCAAAACAAATTGTATATGCATAGTCTAATGACTACTATGGTATATGTTGTCACTGACAGAAGGAGAGATTTTTTAGGGAGAAAGCATCTCCTCAGGTACATAATTCTTGAGGAAAAACAGTGGAGGGAGGAGGAAAGGAAGGTGGTAAAATCTTTGGTAAGAATGGAAAGAAATAATATCATTACCTTCCTAACACCTCCCTGGAGAACCCTGACAAACTTTGGAAAGGCTTGTAACAAAGAAGAAAAGCACAAGCTGTGGTAGTTATCTTGGAAATGCACCAAAATACACTTGTGATATCTAGTCGTGTGAC